AGATGATTTCAAGGATCTAGAGAAAATTCACACAACAGTTAACTTTTAATAAGTCTTCCCTAAAGTTATCTGTATGCAGTCAATATTAAATTCTCCAAAAAGGTTTTTTTTTTTCCCTGATTAAGATATTCCTTTAACAGCAAGAAATAAAATTGTAATCAAAAGAAGCTCTAAATGTTTACCCTACTAACTGAACAAACTTCTTGGAAAATTAATATCCTGTGCTAGATTAAATATATTAGAATACAAGAAAAACATTCCTCAGGCCCTTAAAGGTAACTCGCATATTTGAAAGTCTACATCTCATTATATAAGCTATGCGAACAAACACACAGTTCTGTGCTTATAAAGCTAAACACAGGGTTTTCCTGTAAGCTTTCTGTACGTTATATATAGCACTCAACCATCACAAATATAGTATAGTATTGTTCATGTTTAGAGCAGCTTATTCTGTTCCCTTTATCTTCTCTGCAGTCCCAAACAACACTCTTCCCATCCCACCACAGCATACGAGCACAGCTGATAATATTCCAAAGGTGGGAATACAGCAAGGGGAACACTACATCTTCATAGGGCAGATTTCTTTATTTTTCTTGGGATACAGCCTGGCAGAAAGAGTTAAGATGGAAAGGCTAGTCACCTGAAACTTACCAACACACCAAGAGTTTATTTCAGCCATAAGAACCTTCAGCCAATTAACAGATGACTTTCATAGTACAGAGGCACTCTCTAGGAACACTGTCTTGTGTGCCTAGAAGTTTGTACGTGTAATGGGCCATTTTTCTGCCAAGTGAGTTTTAGCTGATTAACTGTTTACTAAGTCTTAGTGGTTAATTTTGGTAACAATGGTCTTCAGGATTATTATTCTCAGGACTAAACAGATGCCAGATAGCTAACAGAGAAAGCATTATGTTATAAAAATGTGGCCATGGTGACAACCTCTTGTATTAGATTTAGCAATCCTTGATTGCCTTCCAACTTTAAGACATTCACAAGAGACTCCCTAAAATGCTGTAAACTATGACAAGACTGTGACAAAGCTATGTCATACTTGGTTCAGACTACTGTCAGATAAATTATTTCCAGAGAAAAGGAGAAATGCCCCTAAAAATTATTACTGGACAAGTTTATATAAGTATACAGCCTAATGATCTGAGAAAATAAATATAGCAGCTAATATTCATCTACTATTTGGTTAAGTGAGAGTAATGAAATCTGACAGACTACTACTCTTGGGATTCATTCATATATATCTTATTGGTTTTCAGAGTAATTGTATCATTTCAGTAAAGCCAGACATTATATGGCAAATCTTGTCATAGCAGCCACATAATAAATGGAAATTTAAAGAAACAGTGACAAAAGATCAATCTTTTAAAGAAAATGGCAGTGCTTTGACAAAATTTGACAAAAAGGGGAGAAATAACTGCAAAGACAAAAAGTTTACATAAGATGGACTGTAGAACACATTGCCATGAGATATTAAACCCAATAATTTAGCATAAGTCTTGCTACCCACTTTCAAAAGAAGAAACAGAGCATAAAAAGAGATATATTAGAATGACATCCAGAAGATTCAGCCTTCTTGTCAAATCACCTTAGCAAACCAAGGAGCAATATTAACTTATCTCTATCAGGAGAAAAAAAAAAAGCTGAGACATTTAGATTCATTTCACTTCCTCTCCTGGTCTAGTCTCCTTTTCTCTATCCAGTATCCAGATGGAAAGCTAAAGTCACATGTTTGAAGATAGTGAGTAAGAGTGAACTAGCATGATATTCCAGATGAGTATATCATCTGTTTCCCTTGAGAGTGTTCCATTCTAAAAAAATCATGGGGATATTACTGTTCATGAGTGTATCAATATTTCCAAAAAAAGAGGAAAAAGAAAAGAAGAGAACAGAAAAGTGATTCTTGCCTTTTCAATACAAGAGAGAAATAATTTTTTTTTATTTCTTTGCAACAACTGCTATATAGCTGCTAATAATTTTCTTGGCATTACAGTAAAAACCCACTAAAGAAAGAGAATGACCATTACCTGGCTAGCATGCAACATTTTTTTGGTCAACACCAAAGCAACAAAAGATAACCTAGCTGATATCCTTTAATCAATCCTTCAACACTTTTTTAAAGGCAGAAGATGCATGATTAGAACACAGCTTAAACTGGCAAGCAATGAATTTAATAGTGTGGAGGGAAAGGGCAAGAAGGAATTCTTTGAACTTAAGAACTAAAAAGGACTGTCAAAGGGCAGCATTACTACCTCTAACTGTAGGGTCTCTCATTGAATCCTCCAGAGGAATCATCTGATAGCCTGATGGTCTAATGCCACTTAAGATAACATGTAATAAGAGCACCCAGGTGCATTTGGAAGACAAATGTATTAAATCATACTTTGGGGGAAAAAAATGAAGGTATAGAAGCAGATTGAAGTCTATATATTATCTGAATAGAGAGGAGGGGAAAAAACATGTAGATCAAAATAAAGGCTAAGTTTAAACTAGAATTGTGTAAAATTTGCGCATGGTGTATTAATCTTTCATGGATGAACCTTAAAAGGAATAATATATATCTGTAGAAAAAGATTTGTGATTTGAAAATGGGAAGACTACACTAACAGGAAATTGCGATCTTGTTGCTACGGCGACACAAAACTTCAACTCCCATTTGAATAGTCAACTGATATCAGCAGGCATTTTCTAGTCATGTCTTTTTCCTTCCCCTGACTCAATTTTTCCTTCCCCTGACTCAAAAACTGTGGTTCAGGGCTGTTTAACCATTTTTACAGTCATGTTTTGACCCCTAGTTATAGAACGGTAGCTTTTTTTCCTCCTCCATAAGAGGAAAATGGCTATCAAGAAGGATATTTGACAAAATAAATTGGCAAATACAGAGGAAATCCACTTTTTTTTTTTTGGTAATTTAAAAGTCTATAGACATTGATTTCACTTCACAATTTCTTAAGACAAAAATAATAAAATGCAGATACTATTAATTGTGATACCCATCAAAAACACCTTTAGAGGTACTGCAAAACATTTGCACTCCACAGTGCTGCAGCAGATGAAAGTCAGCATCACAACAGCAATTCATAATATTTTAAGGATCTGCTTAAGTTATTCAAATTTATATTTGCCAAATGCTAGCTGACCCTAGCACATTTTCTGGTGAAATGCTACAAATGGCTCTGCCAATAAACTACCTTTAACATGTTATTAGGTTTTCCCCCTTTGCAACCTCTTCTCCACCCCATCATGTATTAACATTTGAAATATCACAAGAGATCAAATAACCAATGTACTTTCACTGAAGTATTGCATTACAATGAATAAAACCATTAGCAATTAAAAAAATGCACAAACAAGAAAAAAAAACCCACTCCATCTAGGGTCAAAAGTCCCTAACCAACAGAAACTAGCAAAAATTGAAAAAGGAATCACTGCATTTAGTGAGCACATATATTCATACATTGTCAAAATTTCTGACATCACAGCCATTTGTGACAGGAATAGCATCATTCAAACCCCAGTTTCCTGGGGATGTTTTCTTGAACTTAAGTGAGTTTTAAACGTGATTTTTGGAATAACTCATCCAGATTAGGATTTTATCACTAGCTATACAAACAGGAAAAACAATTGATTTTTCATCAGTATTTGTAGCCCCATAGACCCGTGCACTCAGAAAAAGCCACCACTACCGGATGTGGTAGTATGCGTTCCCATTCCTTAAGCTTGTTATATGTTGACTGCACAACTAAGAAGCCCAGCAAGACTCAGTTTCATCCACCCCAGAGAAAACATAAACCCATCCAGGGGACCTGGCTATTATTACTGCTTTTCTTCACAGTGCTTTCTCATGTACTGCTGGGATGGACATCATCAGGCATTTTCTTGAAAGCTCAGAAGGCTTCTAAACAGAGAAGCCTCTTCGGTAGGCTACTTTCAAGACCTTTTTTCTATTACTCAACTATTTTCCTTCTTACGGGGAATGCATAAATTAATAAATAATGAGACTGAAGATTCGCACTGCAAGACAGGCCGGTAGGAATAATGCACATCAGAGCCACATGCTGCTTGCCCTCATCAGTGCCGCATACGCAACCAATTCAAAGACCATCCCACTCGCGCTCCCTCCGCAGGGAGGGGGGTGAAAGCAGCCTGTGCCGCTCCCGCCGGGCCGAGTCACCGCAGCCCCACACTGCGCTGCCCAGCGCTGGCAGGTGGGCGACACGCGAGGACTGATCAGCTCTCTCAGGCGGGGCAGGGAGAGGGGGAAGGTGATAAGAAAGGGAGGAATGAAGGAAAGGTCGTATGCCTAACGGCTAACGGTCACGGGAGGGGCTGTTGCTTCCCGCCCCCAAACGACCTGACGCAAAGCGCAGCAGGAGCAGAAACGACCCGGCACGCAGACACTGCACAGGAAGACGGGGAAGCGGGCCAGGATGGGGGCCTAAGAAACCAGGGCAGCCCTGCCCTCACCTGAGCTCAACAGCAGCGAGTCCCCCAGCAGCCAGCTCCCTCCAGCTGCCGATCAGCTGATAAGCGACCCCCCGCGCATGCGCCGGCCTCTCAGGCGCCCTGAGGCCGCGCGCGCACAGGAAGTGCCTGACACAGGCCAGCGGCTGAGGTTTCAGTTCCGGGTAAAACTCGTACCTTAGCTCGAAGCTATTTGCTGTTTTTCGCTGTCGCCCAAAGGAAAAGGGGCATGGGGACGACACGAACCCGCCCGTCCCGCGCCCAAAAAAGGAAAGGAGGAGAAAAAGATGGTTAGGAGCCCGCGCGCATGGTTGCCGTCCCACGCCACGTGACGAACACCTCAACGCCT